ATGGAACATCCTATCAACTATTCAATTCTCGAAATCTTCATGGAAAGCTGAATTCAGGGTGTTCCATTGAAAAAAAAACACTAAGCTAATAGCCTACCCGAAAAATCGAATGACTCTGTATATAAAACAACTACACAAAATAAAAGTTTGGGTGCTTTCAAACAACTTTTTCATTTAACATTCCTCGATATTCCTATAAAAACAACATAATGACCTCTTTATACTGAACTTTCCTTGAATAAAGTACCATTCCTATTTCACATTCTTGGGGGAATTTAAGACTAAGAAAATTGTTTGAAATGATGACTTAATAAAAACAAATTATCATAGGGATTTCCTTTTGTGCGCTTCAAGCGTTAAAAAATATGTTTCATCAATAACTAATCCAAGTGCTTCGTAATTTTTTTTATTTTATGAGGATGCTTGCCAAAAATTCGACGGATGACGTCACAATGTGTCCATGATGATTGCAGACAAAAAGATTCCTGCATGATCCGCCATTTTGAAAACAAATGTCATTTGAAAAGTAATTTTTCGCTCTATCGACTTACGTAAAATTATTCATACAGAGTGCCATTTGAATTTCAGTAAAATTTTGGGGCAAATCCTCTGTACTTGTACAGTGTGCAACATATGGAAATTTTTTTGATGAATTGCACAACCAAAATACAGATAGTGCCAAAGGTTGGTGCATGTTCGGTAATCATTTAAGGTGCACTCAGAATCGTTGCAAGTCAAACAGCATACAGGGTAGGACAAAAAATATAAAAAATGATCAGGAGTAAAGTACCCTTATCTCAGAAAATTCAGCAAACTGTTAGGGAAAAAAGTTCTTCACAATTGAAAGTTTTTCCTGAATACCAAAACATGGCCTCCTAAGACATATTTTAGTGTTTCGATTTGTTCCATTAATAACTTCCCAATTTGTATTTTTTTTATATTCACCCTAAACACTTTCATAATTTGATCATAACAAAATCAGTTGATCATACTTTTGTTCAAATTAATGCACTTTTGTGCAATCAACTTGAATTTAATTTTTTTAGGGAATCACAAACTTGATGTTTGTTGCAACGATATACAGCTTAATTTTGAGATTTCGCAAACCATATTTTCAACAAGGTAAAACATCATTAGATAAGGAGTATGTCACCAAACTGCCTCGATATTTACTGTCAACCCTCATTCGTTCTGTTCCTTGGGTGTCCGTGATTTTTCAAAAGATATCATGGTTGTCGATCAATTTGTTCAGCTTTTTCATAAACATTTCAAATACAAAATGTTCACATTAAATGAAGGTTTTTAAATATGCATATTATCATTAATGATGTTTTACCTTGTTGAAAATAGGGTTCGCAAAATTCCAAAGTTGAGCTGAATATCATTGCAACAAACATGAAGTTTGTGATTTCCTAAAAAATTGAAATCCAAGTTGAATGCAAAAATATGCTTGAATTTGAAAAAAAAATGGGAATTTATTAACGAAAGGATTTGAAGAACTGAAGAATGTCTTAGGAAGCCATGTTTTGATATTTAGGTATGAATTTTAATTGTGAACAACTTTTCTCAATAACATTCTGCTGAATTTTTTGAAATACGGGTACTTTACTCCTGAGCACTTTTTATATCTTTTTACCTACCCTGTATGCTGTTTGACTTGCAACTATTCTGAGTGCACCTGAAATGATGATCGAACATGCACCTACTCTTGGCACTATCTGTATTTTGGTTGTGCAATTCATTAAGAAGATTCCCATATGTTGCACACTTAAATGACCACACTGTATATTGAAATTATGCTCATATTATTATTTTGTTGAAGCGAGGAGGGAAAATCCCAAATAATCAAGTAAAATGTATGTGACACCTCCTCGATCAACCAACAGGCGGTATTTCGAGCCGCCATTGCTTGAGATTTGACATTTCATGGAAGATGAATGAAGTCATTATGATATCCGAAACGCAAATGAAATTGATCACATACAAAGTACCTCATTGATCACATACAAAGTACCCCATTGACGAACGGAACATTTTGGTATATAAACGAATTGGGTCCAATCAACTTATTTTGACCTCTACTTCAAGTAGAGCAATTTTGGGACACCCTGTATATAATCTATAACTGAAGTCATGTGAGTGATTTAAGCACAATTGACAATAAGAAATCACTATATTCGAAAACTCTTGGGGAGTAGGTTTCCCGAAACGAAATAGCGATATACAAATGCTACAAGTTCTTTATTTATATTATCTACTATATAATTGGAGAATCAAATTGAAAAGTATACACTCTGATCCGAATCTCACATTGGACTATAAAAAAGTTTGAAAGTTTGATGTTTTTCTCCAATATTTATATGTTCAGAAATGGACATACAATGATTCCATATCTGCCTTATAGAATCTCCGAGAATAGATTCATCTATTATACATAGAAAACATCGTTATATTCACATGTCTGATGTTTTGTTATATGATTTTTCAACAAAAAGAATGATATATACTTCTTTATCTAGATACAATCAAATTATCATGTCAATATCTTCCTGATTCGGATCAAACAGATTATCAAACACAAATACTACAATGTACGAACCTTTCTCAGCCCTCTAGAATTCTTCATAAAACAGTTTGAATCAGATTTGAGTAGGTATAGCAAGGAATTTCTATCGATTCAACTTGGCAACAATGCGCTACCGCTTGTTCCGAGTCTCCACGCGTCTCACACATTCTGGTATATTGACGGTCTTTCGATGTACGGTTCTGATGTTTTACGGGTCTGTCAATGTACGGTTCTGCCATTTTACGGTTCTGCTATTTCACGGGTCTTAATCCAAAAAATTCTGAAAATGTACGGGTTTGGTATCTGCACGATTCTGCCATTGTACGAGTCTGTCATTTTACGATTCTGCTGTTTTACGGGTCTGTCGTTTTACGGTTTTGATGAATTATGGATCGGAAATTCCGGTAGTCCGATGGATTATGAGTCTGTCGATGTACGGTTCTTGCATTTTACGGATCTAGAGTATTTGCAGTCTGTGCTTTTACGAGTCTGTCATTGTACGGATCTTTCATTTTACGGGTATCAAAAATCGACAGTCTGTCTTTTTACGGGTATGAATTTTTCGCATTCTGCCATTTTCAGATTCTGTACATCACAATTCTGTCAGTTTGCTGGTCGGGAATGTTCATTCTGATGAAATGGTGGTCTACAGAGTACGGGTCGCTGAATCACAGTCTGTGCTTTTACGGTTCTATGACTTTACGATTATATATTTTTATGTTTCTGACGACATGAAGAGTATTTTATTTACTGGTTTGGCAATGTACACTTCTGAATATATGGCAGTCTTTCGATATACTATTGTGATTTATGCATTCTGACATAATGCAGTCTGTCAAAGTACGGTTCGACAAATTACGGGTTGTACATATTGCAGTCGCTGAAATATGGTTCTGATGATTTGCTTTTCTGATTTCTTACTATTCTAGTCAAATAAATTCCTACTCTCCTGGACTTTTTTTCCGATTTCGATGTTTCTGTACTCATTCTCGTCATGAATTAATGGTCTGAAATAACATCGGTAGAGGTTGAAAAAATTCTTATTTTCTCATTCGCCAGCATTCTTTGTAGATCACAAATATTCCAGAAACTGCATCATTTTGATTTTTTTGCCAATTATGGAATTTTCAAATATCGCTCTGTATACTTCAGCTACAAAATGACGTCAAGAAATTCGAATTCGGTTGAAAAATGATGAAACCACGAGGAAAATGAAATTGTCTGGTTTTTTGTTATCACATAATGGTATATATATTTTACCCCTAATTCAGCTCATCAAAATCGCCTGTCAATTTTTTCTCTCCATTTCAAAATATCTCAATAATATCATGATGGAATGTCAAGTTTACAGCGCCAAGTTGATTTTTTGAATAATTTTTACACTTAAAAGAATATGGTGGATGGTGAAGCGCATGAGTAAGGCCTGCCAGGTTGAGATTTTTTTACTTAATACCATTTGATTCATCACTTCCAGCCTTATAAGCAAACCGTTATACAGGGTGAGGGAACAGTACATACTCCTATCAGAAAGTGTCTTATGTTCTTCTTTTCCAATTTATAAGGTGAATTATGAGATTGGGCAAAAACATCTTTTGGTTATAACTTTTCAACATCTCCTTCGATTCGTCCGATTTTTTCATGGAATATTTCTGTATTAGACTTTGATCGACTGAAATTTCCAGAATCAGGAAAATCCAGGACAGTTTTCGAAAAATGTCGATAGTCTAGTTTTTATCAAAAAGTTCATTCTGTTTATGGTTTTTGTGAACTGCGACAGGAAATTTTCGAAGCACACAAACAAGCATCAGGAATATAATATTCAGAATTCTCCTCACACTTCTGCAGAAATTTTCAAAAAACGATAGATTATGAGCAAAAACGAAAGTTTGAAAACAAATTCATCAATTCGAAAATATTGGCCCAATGAAAATTAACATGCTCCTTCATTTCCACGGATTTTGTTATTTTATTCTTTGTGTAGGGTGATAATCACCCTGTGAATCTTTTTCAAATCAATGAATGTGTTATTTGATCAAATGTGAAAGGTCCCGTTCTCACCTTGCCAATAAGTTGGATACTAACCAAGATACGGGAGGTGCTCAAAAAGTGAGAATTTCCAATTTCGCCCTGCATCTCAAGAACATGGAGAGCTGTGACAACTCTGTTTGCGGCATTGTCCGTTTCACAAAAAAGTAAGACAGTAATGCGAAAACCGCAACTCTCTATCTCCAAAGACAACTGAGATATCGCACAAAAGCATCGAAAACTGGACACACTGTACAGTTCCTCATGACTCACTCTGTATAAAAAGTTTAAGAACTCCCTGGTTATCACCTTTTTTACTTTGGACCCAGAAAATCGTCTCTTCGAAGAATTTGATGGATTCCCAACTTGAGGTTTGGTGACACCAATTCCGAGGAGATGCGATAAAACATTAATAATATTTACCCTGCACCCGGTCCGCCCTGGATCCTAAGGGAGTAGCGGTCCCTCTGCTCTCCATGACTGCAGCTTTCTGCGGCCTTTCCCTCTCCATGCTCTCCTCGTTGCTGACTAGATATACATTCGAGATGGTGGCGAGACATTTGAGCTTCATGTTGCCGCGTTTGAAGTGCTTCTGCCTCACTATGAACTCCAGGCCCAAGACGGTCGATTCTAAACCTTCTCTTCCTGCAAAATTCAGAAGAAGACTCAAGGTGAAACCGCCCATCTTGTTAAAATAGGCGGGTGAACATTTTCTTCAATTCTGTCTGTAGGTTAATCGAGGAGGTGGTACATTCATTATCCCAGATTTTTTTGGGATTTTCTCTCCTAGCCCCTATGAAAAATAAAAATATAATTACTATTTCAATATTATGTATAGTGAGGACAAATCAGATGATTTGCTCCAGAATGTCACTGCGTTCAAAGGAGTTTCATATCAAAGAGTCTGCAACAAAAATTCACTAGCTTGTCAGTGACAATTTGTATTCAAAATAGTTTGCTGAAGAGAAATAGAAAAATAACGAATTTTCACTCATCTTTGGACGTTTCGAGAACGAATCTGCTCCCGTTTTTGACATTAAAGATGTATTTTTTGTATGGCAAATTCGTATTTGTCTGGACACTTCGCAAGTCTCAGTGACAATTGGTGACGTTGATTCGAATGAGATACATATCCTCACTGAAGATGGACAACATATGGTGGAGTGGAATGATATTGAAATCATTGGAAAAGGAGATTACAACCAGAAGAGAAAAATCAAGAAATCTGCTTGCATTCTTCTGAACGAAGACAATAGCATTGTTTCCTGTTCAGTTGATTGAAATAGAACATGGTATTCACTAACTCTTCTCTAACTCTTTCTTCATTTTCTACTACCGATTTATATCTTATATTATATTGACAATTCCCATACAATGTTATTTGTCGAAGTGGAAATAAAGTATTATTATTATTACTGAAATCTGAAAATGGAAATGGTGAATTCAAGATTAATTAATGGAAAAATCCTGTGACTCATATGATTACCAACGTCACCAATTGTCACTAAGAACTGAGGAAGTGTCAAGACAAATACGAATTTGCCAAACAAGAAAAATCCATTTTCTATGATGAGAACGGGAGCAGATTCGTTCCCGAAACGTCCAAAGATAAGTGAAAATTCGATATTTTTTTTATATACCATTATTTCTCTTTTCCAAACCTTTTTCAATACAAATTGTCACTGACAAGCCAGTGAATTTTTCATTTAGGCTGTCTGATAGAACGATTCTTTGAGCGCAGTGAGATTTTGGGGCAAATAATCTGATTTGTCCTTACTAAACGTATAATGAAAAAGTATCTATAATTTTATTTTATAGAGACGAGGAGAGAAAATCCCAAAGAAATCTGGACTAATATTTTTTCCATTCCTCTAATTGAATCATCACTCAAATACCTTTCGATTTCATATTTTTTCAGAATTCTTCGGTCGATTGTTAGGTGCTGAAATCATCAATAATGTCATGACGATTTTCAAACGGATAGAAATTCACCGCGAGTGAAAACTGATGATGTCACGATTTCGTAAGTAGGGGCAGACCATAGCACAGTTTCCATGTGTTGAAAAACGATTGGGTACTTCAGAAATATTAGTTATTCAAACAATTATAAATTTTCATTTATGTATTGGTAATACTCCTATTTAGCACTACAAAATTGCAAAGTCTCCGACATTTACATGGAAGTTTGTTATGAAGTATTGAACATATTTGGACATGCTGGTTGCTCGAAAGAGTCAAGAATGAACTATAAAATCATGGGTTCCTCCTATAATGTTTCATTCAACGACAGGACTCTTACATCTTTTTGATAACTTGATTATAATTGGTGACTTGACAACCTTGCTTCGTGAGTCGAAATGGAAGATTGCAACCGTAACGGTTTCATGTTATCGTCACAAATTAGTTATTACATATTCACATGTTAATAGGATATCCAAATCAACATCACATTTCTGTTCACCACCTGATTCTTTTATAATGAAAACGCATTTCTTTCCTAGAAGGATTTACTTGGAACAATATCATTGAATTACTAGGATTCAAAAAATAATGCTTTCGGAATATTCATCCGGCTCAGAGGAATATTCCAATTTCATGTCATTCACTGCTTCCAGGAGAGGGAATCACGGTTCATGAAATATTCTCCCGCTCTGAGTTACTACAAAATAAGTATCACTCTCTTGGATTAGTCAAAATTGAACTTTCTCGAATTTGCCATAACACTTTGTTGAATTAATGAGATTTGAGCTGTTGGGAATGTTGCCAAACGAACGATAATATAGCATTTCTTGTTCTCAAGGAATAATTACAGTCAGTGCCTGATAATTCATTCCTGGAAATCCGGGTGATGTTACCATGCAATGAGTGTATCAGGAACATGAAAGAGATGATTATGTCACGTATGGGAAGGAACCATGGAATATAACCAGTATAATTGGTTTATCAGATTCAATTTTCTCGAACATCAATCCAATTTTTCAAATTTGAACATTCATTACAACATTATTCTTCTGTTCATTTGAGTTGGTAGTTTCCTCAAAGTTGCGGAATGCTGATTACGCAAAACTACCAAGCTAAGCAATATCGACAGGTCTTCTTCTTCTTCTTCTTCTCTGCACAGGTGGGCTGGTGCGTAGACCCCTGCACTCAGGCCTCTTCAGTCGGGCCCATTGTGCGCCCACTTGTCCTGTGAATCAGCTGGGAATACCGATTTCTTTGACGAATTTCAGCAGCTTCCTCAGCTGAGTCACTTTCACATCCTTTGGGTGCAGTACAATGCTCCCAAAGGCAGCTTTCCTCTGATGCACCAGCGCGGAGCATTCAGTGAGTATGTGTGATGATGTTTCATCATCCTCCAAGCACCATCTGCAGATGGGATCATCTTTGATCCCTATGAGTTGTAGGTGCCTGTTGAGGTGGTTGTGCTCAGTTAAGAGCCCAACTACCATCTTGAGATCCCTTCTATTAAGTGACAGGATCTCTCTCGTGAGCCTTTTTGTTCCTTTATATGGAGCTTTGATTGTCTCATTCCTGGTGTGTCCCGCCATGTTTCAAGGAACTGCCTCTGTATCGACAGGTATTGACTATTTCAGTGCTATGGCATAGTCCAAGCCATGCACTTTTTCAATATAAATAGTGAAGGAATCGAAATAATCAGGATGAATCAATCGGATTCAATCATTAATCTTTGGGCTATTGCCATCAGTTTCACTTCAAGCTGTTAGTACGGGAAGATTATTTCATATATCATTTCTCAACACCAAAATATATATATAATGAAACCCTTCGAAAGACATACTGGGTGGAATCACGACCGAAAATTGGTCACTACCTGTCGGTCTATTTAGTGAGAGGGAACTGAGAATATTTCTGTCAAATAGCCAAGCAGGTACTCTAACACGTGGTGGGGCCTATCTGAGTTGCGATAGTACCAACTCAAATTCCGGTTATTTCATGAACTGAAGTCGATACTCAGAGTTTCAAGTTCAAGCGTAGGTCGTAGGTATGAATACCTTTATATATGTAAAAATAATAATAATAATCTTTTATTTTCTCACATGACAAAACAATGTTTGTATCAGAATAGTAATTTTGAAGCATAAATGAACATGAACAAACATTTATACTGAATTGATTTAAATCTTGGATCGACATTATTTTCATGGAATGTACGAGTAGGTACACAGAACGGGAAAAATACAAGACAACAGGTATAATAACGAAATAACAAAATAGCTACACATTAACATTCTCAGAATTGGTTAGCTGCTATTGAAAACGTCCCTATTTTCCATTATTTCGAATTCAGAGATGCCATATAGACTATTTCCTGTTAGAATATTGTGCAGTTTCTGTTTATTAAAGAGTCTGAGTGGAAAGTTCCGAAATTGTTCGTGCAGCATATTGTTGAGTTGTATATCCTTATTAGACGTTCTTTTCAATGTCTTCTGAGGGGGTACGAGGTTTTGCTTGTGCCTTGTATTGTGATTGTGTATATCTGAATTCATGAAGTAGATATTCACATGCGCTTTGATATAGAGAAGTTTTTGATATTGTCCCATTGTTGAATCTCCTCCAAATCATCGTTTACTAACTGGATCTGTTCCAATCTTAGGCCTTGGTTGGTTGCTGCAGATATGAGAATTTAAGAGGAGTATGACGCTATTAGGGTGGAATTGTCAGCAAAACTGGAGGCAACTGTTGGCAATTCAACGGCATAGTAGGGGAGGCAGACCATATAAAAGTAACTTGTTCAGGAGTGATTGATGCCATACTCTAACAAATGCTCTAGATATATCTTGGGCAGAGAGCTTGGAAGGTATTTTTGTGGCACTGGATGTTCCACAGTAGAATGAGAAAGTGAAGTGGAGGAAATTCTTCATCTTTGAGAAGCACAACTCGAAAATCCTGAAGAATCATCTGAAATGAGACAAAATATCGCTCAAGTCTGGCTCACAAGTACCTAGTAATAGATTTGAATACATGAGAAAATATGATGGAGAACATGAGCAATGATGTTGGCTTGGTTGATCATTCTCCATATAACTATAGCTGCAAAAAATTGAATTGAAGAAGGGATATACTGTCAAGGAGATAAAGGTCACCAATATGATTCTCAATACACCACGGATCTTACTCTTACAGTCTTTATGTTAGAAGCTGGCACAAGAGTTTCCAGATCAGTACCCTAGAAAAAATCCAGTTAGGAAATTAAAAAATTTCAATAATCTGTTGAGTGATCAAAACAACACCGTTTTATATCAAAATTTCGAAACTTGCTTTCGAAATCGGATAGCACACAATGAATTGAATCAGACTGTATTTTCTTTCCTTGCACTGAATAGCGCGGTCTCTTGCATTTATGTGCCCACAATATTCCGATGTTTTCACTGATCTGTACTCGATATATTTTCAAAATTCTTTCGTACCTCCTATAAACACATCAATTTATTGACTTTTAAAAAATACTCCTGCAACTAGCAGACCTTACCAGGGAGTACTTTCTCGGCGTGTTTCAATGATGAATCGATTGTGAAATATGTTTTCACCAGTGTTGGAAAGATATCGAGATGTTAGGAGACAACTGATGTTTGAATCAGAAAAATAAGAGCTTTCTACAGTTCCCACTATTCTAAAATAATAAA